AGCAAACACTGGTTAACCTACTCTCCAACATGCTGGCCGTTAATGCTCCAAAAGCAAAAAAGAAACATTCCTGAGGCAGGAAAATGAGCATTCCCCCCCACACACACACACACAGCCCCCACTCCGGTGGCTGAGAGTCCCCCTTTCATGTCCAGCAGATCCTGAGGGATGATGCTGCCTGTCCCACCGGGATGCTAGGCTGGGGCTCACTGCCCCGCGGTCTCGAAATCCCCACACTTTACTCAGTGGAAATCCCTCAGTTTGTTTGTTTTTATTTGTTTGTAAAAAAAACTCTGAAGAGAAGGCAAGATCCTGCATGCGTGGGCATGTGAGAATTAGGAAGAAAGATGAAGAAAGACAAGCTCTGGAGAGGTCAACTCTCATTGTGACAAGCTCCATTCAATAAAACGATTTACCTCTTCCCAGGCCTGGGGCTAGCTCTTGGACACCATTAAGATTTTATGGTGCACAGAATAATTTCAAGCCACCAATGAGTACCACGTGTCTGTCTTCCAGACCCAGGATATAGGCCAGAGCAGCCCCGCCTAGGAAAGGAACGTTGTTTGCCCTCCCCTGACTTTGGTCTTGGCTGAGTGTGAACAGAGTGGGCCAGTCCATTGTACCAAATGACCTCATTTCTATTCCTTTGCCACTGACATTGGAGAAGCATACGTGGTCTTTACAACCCTCAGAACTCTCTCGAACTTTAGACACCCTCGGAGAGCCTTAATCCCAATTTGAAGAACATCAGTTTACAATTCTGTCCTAAAATCATTACCCTCAGGCTTCGGCGTGCAGATGAGCACTGTACATGCTGCAATGCTTTCAGATTGGACCAGGTGTTCTTAACCCAAAACCTGTGTACCCCTCAGATGGGGTAGAAAGATATAAACTGTGAAATTACGTGAAAATCCCTTTTCTGGTAATAGAACCTAAAGCATCCATCAAATGTTCACAGGAGCAATGTCTAGACTTATAGTAAGAGTCACTGCACTGGGGACAGCTCCCCTAGGGACAGGAAAGGCTCCACACCCTCCACCATCGTGCTGAGCACAGATGCCTCAGGGATTCTCCAGATGCTTTTACCTTGACAGGGCATCTGTTGTGGCACATCACCATCGTCTGTCAGAGGCTTTGGTAACAAGGTCAGCTGAAGAGAGTTTTATTTTAATGGTATTTTTTGACCTCTGTGGGTCTAGAGTTGCAAATGTTTGTGAGTGGCAGGAGAGAGAGAGAGAAGAGGGAGGGAAAGGATGAGGTGGGGAGGATGCTCTTAACTTTCTAACACGCTCCTAAAAGTCCCAATGTAAACAGTCCTGAGATACATATTCAGCACCAATTGCGGAAGGAGATACCACGTCAGGCAAGAAAGTATATGCATGTCGTACCCATATTCTGAAAAGTCGCCAAATGCCTCGTTCTTACAAATAAATGCGGTGGTTCTCTTTACAGATTATCCAGGCTTCTGTTACAGTCCCGAGGGAGAGACGAAAGCACTTTGCAGTTCTAAAGATGGTTCTGCTCCTTATCGGCTGAGAAGAAAATCTGGTACGTAGGATGTTGTAATCACAATTTAGTAAGGATGGGGGACTAGTACTGAAAGTCCCTTTCGCTCTGACAAAAAGCCATTTTATTTCTGGTTTTGGAGCTCACGGCCAATTTGAATACTATTTGGGGCTGCGTGAAGATGGGGCTCTCGTGCTTTTGTTCTAAAACTCTTTTCTGCTTAACTCTCCATTTTCCGGTGGATATAGCACACATTGACCCAGTAACTCTGCTTTGCATAGTGTCTTACCAATGGCACACAGGTGCTTACATCCCGTTTACTATCGCTAGTGAAAAATGGTATCCTATAAATCAGAGGTCCCCAATCCCCTGGCCATCGACCAGTACTGTTAGGAACCGGGGTACACAGCAGGAAGTGAGTGGCAGGTGACTGAAGCTTCATCTGTATTTGCAGCCACTCCCCGCCAGGCAGGTGACTGAAGCTTCATCTGTATTTGCAGCCAGCCACTCTCCGGCACTAGGATCACCGCCTCAGCTCCACCTCAGAGCATCGGGCATTAGATTCTCATAGGAGCACCGCTCCCTGGTGCCAAAAATGGTCGGGGACCGCTGCTATAAATAACACATAGAAAAGATTATTCAGACCTAAAATTTTAACATATAGTTGCTGAAACAGACTTCATGTAGTATTCTCTTAGCCCTCAGATATTTTTTTCATTTGAATCAGTATTTATTGAGTATCTGCCTAATCCCCTACACTGTGCCAAGGACCGGGAATGCAAGAATAAATAATACATGTGATTCCTACTTGCAAGGAATTCATAGTCTGGTGGGAGAGTCAAAAAATAAGTGACTGAATACCATCCATGCGATGGAGCTGTCATAGAGCCGAATGGAGAAGCGTGGAAAGACAAAGGAGAGAGAAGGCTTCACGGAGCAGAGGTACCCCAGATGTCATCTGGAGGCTGAAGAGGCAGATAGGGTGGAAACAGCACATGCTGAGGTCCTGGGACTTGAGCCAGCATCCCTTAGACAGGACACCTATTGCCAGTTATTCTGCTTGGCTGGAACGTGCGGTGGAGCTGGGGGTCGGGTGGAGGAATTGGGAAGGTGAAATGGTGATAGATGTGGCTGGAGATACAGAGAGGGAGGGGCCCGATCATGGAAGGCGAGTAAGCCACACAGAGGGTTTGAACTTGATCCTGTAAGCTGTGGAAGGATTTAAGCAAAGAGATATTTGCCTTTTAAAAAGAAAGTTCAGGCTCAGTGTGGAAAATGAAGTAGGCAGGGAAACCCTCTGGTCGGGGTGAGATGGTGAAGGCCGGATTGAGACAGCGGTGGCTGGGATTCCATGAGGCTGTGATGGACGAAAACAGGAGTTTAGAATGATCCCCTGACTGAGAACTTGGCAGGGTCATGTCAGTAACAACCAAGATAAGAGGTACAGATGAAGAAGCAGAGGTGCAGGGAGACAGGTGAGCTGAGACCGAGACATGTTGGGTTTGCTAGGTCTGTGGGCATGTCGGGGAAACGTCAGATTGGCAGTTGGCATTTGAGGTCTCAGGCTTGGGCCAGGGGTCCAGCCTGAGAATATAGAATTGAACTTACCAGCTTATTGGAAATTCTTCTATAGGAGCTAAGGAAATTGCTCTCCTGGTTGATCGGGTTGGTGTTCTGTTATGTGACTCCTGATGCATGGCTGAATGTTTATCTTACAATTTCACTAAGGTGACTGTCCTGCGGCTAAGTGTCTCTAAGCAATGGGGATCTAGGTAAATTTGATAGAGATTTTCTAGAGCTCAATTAATTTGCTCGTAAACTAACGTTCATTTATAAAATAAAAAAACTTTATTTGGTGCAAATGATTCTGGCCTTATTTTTCCTCCCAGAACCTTCCTCAAGATCACATAAAATTTTGAAGACCGGTGGTAAGTCCTAAAAATCTTTTTTCATTCTTATCGATATCCATTAAATCAAACCATATATTAAAAAATAAACACCAGATGATAACAGATTGACAGATTTGATTAACTTCTATAAGTAATAGTGCCCCGTTATAAAATGTAAAGCCGAATGACATAAAAATGTTAGCAATATAGATAACAGGCATAAAAAATTAATATCTTTATTATGTAAAGAACTATACATCAAAAAGTAGAGACAAAGGACTCTTTTTTAAAAGGCAGAGACTATAACTGGACAGTTTCATAAATGAAACGCAATCTGCCAATAAAATTTGTAAACGATCACCTATATTAGTAATCAGAAAAATCATACATTTAAATGAGATTGGCAGTGGGGGAGGGGAGCTGCTGGCTTGGCCAAAAGATATAGAAAAACAAGCACTCTGGAACTATTGGTGTGTAAATGTCTGCAACCTTTTTGAAGCAAAATTTGGTGATGTCCATTTACATTTAAAATGTGCATCTGCCCAGGGACCCAATAATCTCATTTTTTCACTTTTACAAATTTTACAATGTACACGTCCGTGTAGAAGTACTCACGCAAAATCCAGGGCAGGATTTTTACTTTATATGCTCTGTCATTAAACAATTTTTTAAAACGAGACACACACATGATCAAGGTATCTGTGAGGGTGTGGCTCTGTGAATCTCTCCCCACTACTCCAGGTGTACCACCCCTTTAGCACAGCGCCAAGGTGACCCCGTTGACAAATGCCGTATCTTTCAGTTATGGCCAAGTAAATGTTTAGAATGTAACAGAATCATAGTCTTATATTTAAGTGATTTTCGTGGCTTAGGGCATGTGAATTTTTTCTCAGATAATACATATTTTGAGGGGAAGCTTTTGAAACTTACTAACATGAATGGGTTTGTTGCTCTCAGGAATTAAGGAGGATGCTTCAGTCAGATGCATTTAGGCTGTTTTATGAATAGTATGGGACATATAAGTAGGATAACTGAGAGTCGTTTTCTGAAAATTAGGTCCAAAGACCCCAGAAGCTTCTTGGGCTTCAATTATGAACAATAAATTTAAAAGTTCTATAAAATACGAAATTTTACCTATGTGAGATACATTTTTAATCATCAAACTTAAAAAAAAAAACACTTTTATTTTTCAGAAACAGCGCGAGACATCCAAAAGGTAAGCACTATTACATTTCTTATTTTGAAATGTTTACTGTAGGCACGTTGTATAGGTACCCTTATATATCTCATCCCCAGCCTGTGTTCCAAGTGTAAACAATTATTTTACATTTTGACATAGATTTATGTGAGGACTTGTCCTTATAACCGCCTCCCTCTCCTGCTTCATCTCTCGGAACTAAGACAATAATTTCTTCCTCCCTCTGCCTCACCACTCACCTCAGAAACTGTAAGGTTAGGATGTCAAACCCACACAGTGCTAGCCTGGTCCATCCCACTTTGCCTCTGCACGTGTAAGACAGGCCCTCGCATCCTAGGTATTGTTTCCTTCTCAAAGCATGAGGCTTCAGACACAAACATCCCTTTCTAAGAATATGGTCTTGCTGCTGGTAAAAGAGGCGAGATCAAATGTCATACAATGAAACTTCACTATATCGAGTTTTGATTTTTCTTCCTCTGATAAAAGGTTAAGAAAAGGGGAATAAAAGTGGTATTCTCCATTGGAAGATGTATATATCTCAATTTATTACCTATGATGAATAGATACTACATCCTGACCTGAGTAACAAGCGTCCAATATGGCTACTGATCAATTGTCTCAATGAACAATTCTTAGAGAACTGATTGTGGCTTTTTAATGTTCTATGTTACTACGAAACTCTCTCCTCACAATTCCACTTGCACAATTCCTTAGCACAGGGCCAGAGAGACCCTGTTCATAAATGCTATCTCTTTCAGTTAAATCCAATAAAATGTCTAAAAATCAACATAGTCTTATCTCTAAGTAATTGTCTTAAAATTTGGATGTGTAGATTTTTTTTTTCCAGGTAGTACATATTTTCGTTTGGAACCTTTTGAAACTTAACATTAATTGGTTCATTGTCCTGAAATATGGCACGAGATTTTGATTTTTTTTTTAACCTACTTTATTTTCATAAACAAATGCTATGGATGGTACCTGCTCTTCAAGTCAGCCAAACTAAGGTCATAGAGCCAAGCCCCACTCAGTCTCAGGTGTGGGAATCACTCTATTAGTCCTAAAGATACAATCTCAGGAGCTTCTTGGAAACTTTCTACCGTAGTTATTAAGCCAAGTCTCCATATGGGGAATAGCTAAGTCTTATAAAATCTAAAGACAAGAAAGAAATAAAGCATCAATGTATTTTTTTCCTAGTGGTAAAATTCCATCTCCTAACAGTAATGAACATATACTAAGTGCAAGAACAGGTTCACTGATGATTAAAGAGTTTATAATAGGACATGTTACATAATAACATCTTAATATTTCTCTCAGAATATATATTCCAGTGCCATGTGTGTATATGTATACACATATGTGTATATACAGAAGCGCTTATAGAAGCTTTGCATTAAGACATGGATGCAAATCCATTTCTCCACTTATAAGCTGTATGACTGTATAGAGGCGACTGTTAACCTTACCAAGACTTAGTTTCCTAATTTACAGCATTGTTATAAAAATTAAATACAATAGCATGTTTTTAAAGGTGCTCATTACAGTACTTGGCACAAAGCAAATGCTCCATAAATGGCAGCTGTTATCATATTAAATATGACTTAAATATCATATTAAATATCTATTAAATAGCCATAATGCTTAGAATGTGGAAAAATGAGGGGAAAAAAATGTTCATCATGGCTCCAGTGAAATTGAGAGATCTAAACCACATGCTTCTAGGTTGTGCCCATTCCATATACTGATTATTCCTTAACTAAGAACTTTTTCAGTTCTCATGATGATTTATTTGATGAAAAATATCCGCTTCCAAAATACTGCTATCTTCATTTCGAGTGTAATTACTTTAAAGTACTATACTTTGATATTAATAATTCAGGTTTCCTAATTTTCTAACACGTCTGGGAATTTTTCTGGAATAAAAGATTTTGAGAAGGGATTACTTCCGGCTCTTCACAAAATCATTTTGTCACTTTCAAAATGTTTTGTCGTGATGTAAGTAGTTAATACTAACATGTTTATTTTATAAAATGTAGTTACTGGGTGCCTGTTATTTTGAAAACATTATACCAGTGCGGTCTGAATGAAATGAAAAGGAAGAGATACTAAAGGGTAAAGGGGAGGAAAAAAAGAGCCATAAATATAATTCTATCTATATATTTGCGAGTGTGCATGTATGTCCATATGTGTGTGTATTCATTTATTCCTAGGCCTCAAATGGTCAATGGTTTTACTATGTGGGGGAAAAAAAAAAGTGAACAAAAGATTAAATGATTGACTGGATTTATTTTACGTTTAAATTTTTAATAGAAAAATAACATTCAGGATGAAATTTTATTCTTGCCCTCCCTGCTTTTCTCCTCCCTCCCTGATAGACAGACAGGCAGACAGGCATAGTGACAGGTAGATATTCCAAGGCAATATGTATCCTAGTTTCACTGATAAGAGATGAAAAAATCCTTGCTAATTTGACATTTCCAATAGGTTACTATAGTGTTTTGATCAGGAAATATATCTCTGATACTAATTAGTTTGAACTGGTCTTAACCCTTTCAAATTAACTTTTTGAAGCTAATCCCAGAGGGCAATCTACTCCCAGTCTGTACAATTGAGCTCCATCAAGAAAGGTTCCAAGTTATAAAAGATCCCATTGTTTTCTTTGATTAGCCATCATTAATATCACTCATATTTTACTTCCTAACAGGTATCTAAATTTTACTTAATTAAGCATATTTTGAAAGAAAGTAAAATTTTCATCAGCTCGATAGTGGATTAAATTACATTCCTGCAACAAAGGCTCTTTGCCTGGAACCTATAAACCGGAGCAGTGCTGGTCAGGTGCATGGCAGGTCTGTAGATCTAAGGGACACCCTTGGAATGTGCAGTCGGATCACTGACCGAGGCTTCTGGTACACCAAAAAACCCACAATAAAACCCCTAGGGCTCAAGCCCCAAACAGAAACCAGATAGAAATCAGACAGCCCCTGGCAACTCTATATGTTCATTAATATAATGGTATTTGCCAAGTGTACATCGAAATTATTTGAAGTATTTAAGAGGTTTCTGTATTTAGCTGATTTCCTGCACTGGGGTAAGGGATTTGGGACTCAGACCTGGGTTTGCATCCTAGCCTTTCTCCTGACTACTGAGACAAGTTACTGAATCCATTATGAGCCTAGATTTCCTTGCCGTGAAACTGGTACAATCATATCTAACTCACAGAGTGATTGTGAACATTAAATTTGTAGACTGTCTGCAAACAGCCTGTTTCTGAATAAATACCGGCTCCAGTCCTTTCTGACCCTTTTGCAAAAATCTGAATTTCAACTCAAAATCAACAATGTTTACTGATCATTTTCTTTGAGAATATTCCAGTCTAGTGGAAGAGGCAATGTGTAAATACAGGAAAATGTCATAAGTTTTGTATCCACGGTGCTGCAATTCAGTCCGTATGTTTCTATCCCCCTCAGGTTTCCAGAGAAGAAGCGTCTCCCCAGGGGACTTCAGCAGTGCCATCTTCCGCCCAGAGAAACAGTCAGCCCAGCAGTTCCGCCATCCTCAGTGTGCTTCACGGGGGCGGAACCGTCAGAAACATCTGGACAGACCACCAGATCAGGCAAGCCTTGTTTCCCAGTCGACGGTCCCCGCAGGAGAACGAGGATGACGAAGATGATTATCAGATGTTCGTGCCATCCTTCTCCTCTTCGGATTTGAACTCTGCCAGACTGTGTGAAGAAAGCACTTCAAGTCGCCCTTGCAGCTGGCATATGGGACAGCTCGAGTCCACAGAGACCGCCGGCTCTGGCCACAGGGTTGTTCGGCGGGCCAGCAGTGCTGGGGAGAGCAACACGTGCCCTCCCGAAATAAGAATTAGCGATGGCTCTCAGTACAGTCCCCGAAGGGAGCTGCAGAATGACGCTAAAACAGAAGGGCAGGACAGAATGACTCCCTTCGGGTCATCTATAGAGTTGACTATTGATGATATAGACCATGTCTATGATAACATAAGTTATGAGGACTTAAAACTAATGGTCGCTCAACGGGAAGAAGCTGAATTCACTCCCCCCAAATCAGCCAGAGACTCTGTGTGCCCCAAGAGCACCCCGGAGCTAGCCTTCTCCAAGGGGCAAGTGAGCCACGAGAAGAGCCCTCTCCACACAAAGAGAGCTGGAGCTCCGGCAGGTCGAGAGGCATCAAACCAGAGCATGCACGAACTCGAGGTGGTGGAGGAAAACATCTATGACACTATAGGGCTCCCAGACCCGCCCTCGCTGGATTGCCAGCGCAGCAGCCCAGAGCGTGCCAAGAGGGGCACCTTCTTAGGTCTAGACGCCGACTTCACGTGCTGTGACAGCCTGAGGCCCTTCGTTTCCCAGGATAGCCTCCAGTTCAGCGAGGATGAAACGCCTTACCACCAAGGCCCCTCTGAGAATGATTACTTGAGTTTGCTGTATAACTCCTTCAGCTGTAACTTGTCCGTAGCTGATAAGTCTATATCTGATAAACTGTCTGAAGAAGTAGACGAAATCTGGAATGACCTGGAAAATTACATCAAGAAGAACGAGGTCAAAGCTAGAGACCGGCTCCTTGCAGCATTTCCCGTTAGCAAAGATGACGTGCAAGATCGGCTGCACTCCGAGAGCACGCCCGAGCTGAGCAAAGACGCAGCGTATGCCATGTCTACGCTCTCGCTCCCCGAGAGCCATGCCTTCCTCACGCCGCTGAAAGACAGGCCTGGCAGAGGGAGCCGGGCCAGCTGCCCGCTGGAAGGAGACCTGATATCTAAGGAAGGCTCCTTTATGAGCCTCAACCGGCTCTCTCTGGCCAGCGAAGTCCCTCCTGTGGAAAATCCCTATGACTTGGCCAACAGCAGTCTGTCCCAAACAGACCTGGAAACCCCCGATCCTGGGGTGGATGCCACAGATAAGACAAAAAGCAGGGTTTTTATGATGGCTAGGCAATACAGTCAGAAGATCAAGAAGGCAAATCAACTTTTGAAAGTGAAAAGCCCAGAGTTGGAGCAGCCAGCAACCAGCCAGCAACATAAATCTGTGCACAAAGATCTGGCAGCCATCTTAGAAGAAAAAAAGCAAGGAGGGCCTGCCATCGGTACGTTCCGCCACACTGCTTTTCTTCCTTCCTGAAAGTAAGACGTGAGAGCGGCGTTCAGGTTTTAAATGTCCTTAAAACCGGGAGAACATTGTCACTCAGATGTTCATTCTCTCAGAGTGAGACCACAGACTTACTGATGTGGCCTGTCAAAAAAACACAATTTTCCTCCCACCTTTCTAAGTGCTTCTGGCTGGGCTAATAGTCAAATTAACATGAGACAGATCAACAGGAAAAAAATGTCCAAAATTTATTACAGACGTATAATTGGGGGTGCCATAAGAATATGAGAACCAAGACCACATTGGGCAGTTGAGGTGTATATGCCGTCCTGGGCTAAGGAGAAGAGGGTGTGTGGTTTGGGATGACAAAGGGTGGGAAGGCAATTCCCAGAGACGTGCGAAAGCAAATGTTTGGTAAATAAATGTTTGCTGGGCCATCTTTAACAATGGGACTCAGAGAGGACATCGAACAAATGGTTCTGGGTAGGGTCCTCCCCGCCTATCACACACGAGTTTATATTAAACTATAGTTATCTAAATGGTATTTCCCCTGCTGGAGCACGTTCTCTAAATTCCTTTTAGGCAGTTAGGAGGAAGGTCAAAGGCTTTTCTTTTCTTAAAAATAACCTACTGAAATAATCAGTATCCCGAAAGGCATATTTGGGGGTGGCAACCTCTGCTTCCCTTAACCCATTTCCCATTTGCCGAGTACTCACCAGCGGCGCTTATGGCTACAGCGTTTACCCTGAGATAACTCACGGATTACAGTCCTAACCTCACCCCCAAAGTCTGCCACGAAATATCTCGCTTTTATTATTATTTTCACATCGCTCTAGTAAATCGATAGTCTTTGGAAACAAATGACGTCATTCTATTTGTAGCATTCTGTTTTTAGTAGTGGTATTTCCATTTACGAAATATAGTAATTCTCGATCGCTGAAAATGTCAAATCCTAGAAAACGTAGCCTTCCCACACGCGATGTTAACATTGTTCTCCAACAGTTGTTCACCGAAGACTCATTTGATGAATCCGGTTTATGTACACATTTCGATTACATTAGGATCAGAGACAAGTTCTGTTTAGAAATAACTCCAAGGACAGTTTTTATATTTTATCCTCACATTGAAAACCAGTCAGATTTACTTCAGCCTCCAAGAGCATGTTTATGTAAAATTATATTAACGCTGGCAGCGAGCTGCACTTTTTTTCTAAATGGGAAATGGGTTAACTAGCACAGATGAGATCATTACTATCCCTTCCTACTTCACTGACTCTAGCAAGTCGGGGTATGATTTGGTCTCAGAGGATTTTGTTGTGCATAAACATTGTCACTACAGATTTGATGTTTTCAGAAGTTTTCTCTAATATAATCCGAACTGTGAAAAATAGCTATCAGTTTAACTTGTGGCATCTAGAGCTTTCCCCTGGTTATCCGTGTGTTAGGAGGAGTTAGCAGCTCGCATAAGCTTTTAAGTCTTGGAAGTGGAATAGGATTGCTCTTTGCTCCAGAATCCCAGCAAAATTACCTACTCATCCTAACAGATGAAAGATCCTTTCTGCATTTTTGTTTTGTTTTGTTTTTAGCTGTTCACACTCTATCTCAGTTGTTCTCTCATATTTCGGTACTAGTTGATTTTTTTAAATAGCACCTATAATGTATTTAACACTATCTCATCCGGTATTTTTATATATGGTGCCAAAAACTTTAGTTCTGTAGGACAGAACTAAACTAGAATCTCAGGTCTTATATTGGTATGCTTAGGGATAAAGGAATGAGATGTTCATGGCTGAACTTTGTTCTCTATTATAAAGAAGTACATATCCCATGGCTAAATTAGAGAGGGTTCTGAAGGACAAAGCTTAATACTGATATTGGTGGCAGAGCCTAGATATGAATAAAGTACACAACTGTCATGGAAAGAAAAAACTCTGAGGGTGCTGGTTCTCACCCAGGGGACTTTCACTTCCATATCCAGAGATTTCTGGGATAAGGCCCAGGAATTAGTGTTTAAATTCAGTGTGGACTCTCAATCGCATTTAAAGACTCCCTGCCTTGGATTTTCTGACAAAAGAACACCTCGGTATCAAGTAAGAGGAAACAGTTCTACAGTTAAAAGTAAAGATAAGGTGGCTTAGTATCAGGGCACGTTCAGATACTTCGCTTGATGGCGACATGGCTCAACTGGCTAGGTTGATGCCATTATTCTCCTTTCTTTGGAATTGTTTTATCTCCATGGAAACCAGAGAATAAGAAGGGGATATCCAAGTCCTAGATGAATCCACAAGTTGCATGACAAGACTCTGTAGGGAATTTTTTTTTAAGTTAGAGGGTATTTAAGAATCGCCTAAAGCTTTACCCTTTCCTAGAGCTAATCATATAGTAAAAATTTTTGACAGGGAAGTTAAGCCCTGAGATTGCTACCCAAAGGATTATATAGACTCTCTTTGAGTTGTTCTTTTTTTTTTTTTCCAAATAAAGGTGAAAAAGTTATTTTGTATGAATGTGAGAGAGACTAGATCTCATGTATTTTTCCCCCTGCAATAATATGCTTGAATTAAATCATGTCCCTTTTGCAATACTAGTATTGTTAAGCTGGTGTGCTGTTATATAAAGAAAAAGTGACAGAGTTCCAGCACAGAAGGACTATTTTGGGGGCACAGGTGGCATTGGAAACAGCAGTGTATTGGCAGTGTTACCACTGACTGAGTCTGGGGTAGGGCTCCTCAGAATGAGAGAAAATATACCAAGGTTTCTGATCATGATGGATTATGCCAGCCGACTGTCCTTTGAAAAGTGCTAATCACCTGAGCCAGGTTGTTTTGAATATGGACCATCCATTAAAATGTAAAACTCTAACCTTGACAGAAGCTCATCCTTCAATGCTGAATCATTAGGGCTTGCGGCTACCTTGAATGGTCTTCTTTGTTGCCCATCTTTTAAGGATAAATAGATTTCCATTTGGGATTTTCTTTTGCTTCTTTTTGCTTTCAGCCTGTTCTTTTTGTTTTCCCTACTGGTGTCGTCTTGGGACTGCATAGGATCTTTTCTCAGCTTTGTGTCTGGGTCCTTTTTTGACATGGTGGGGCTACTATCGACATTCTCCCCACAAAGAGGGGAAGATCTCTCCCAAGTCATCTTCTGAGAGTGGAGTTGTCCCTAGGCCCTGCCATCTCTCGGACCTGAGGAATCTTCCATCTGGGTGGATCGAGACCACTTCCTGTGCCCACTAGGCTTTCAATTAGTTGACGTGATGACTCCTTTTCTCTCTCTTGTTTATCTGGGCACAGGACGTCGTAATCGAATGGACCGATTCTCCAGACTTCTTCGTATGGGCCTTGCCACTTTGCCAGGAGCTTGCTCTCGGTGCTGTACGGAAGGAGGAGCACCCTATTCACCCGCCGAAACTCTCGAGCACCTTTATTGAACTCTCTAGCCCGGGGGCGGGTCTACAGGCCCCGGGGCAGATTTCCGCCTAGAAATCACCCAACCAGGTCTAGTCACTTGCTCCTGCCTTTCAGAGCCTGGTGTAGCATGCTGGCGATCTGGTTCAGGCAGGCCTCCCTCCTGTAGTCTGCGAGGCCACGGAGGCCTCAGGGTTCCCTTTTTTTTGTGATGTTTTACGTGGGAGAAAACTCCATACCAGCTTGAGGAATCTTCCTCCTTGTGCAAAGTAGAGAAGGCAAAATCACATTTTATGCTTTGGTCTACATCTCAAGCACCATCAGAAACAGTGACTTTACTCCTCTGTCTTGAAAACAGTGTATTTCATACTTCTCTCCGTAAGGTTCACTTCAAATTCGTAGGTGTCTCCACCTTTTAAACTTACAAAAGAGAAATCAACCAGAAATAGCTCTAGGATTGTCACATAATGATAATGTACATGTTCTATAAAGACTACTAATGCTAGAACTAAGGATGAGGGGGAACTTTGATCCAGCTGGCTAATACTGAGCTTTTTAGGCTAGAGGTGTCGTCTTGGGCTGGCTATTTCCTATACGTCTGGCTGAAGGAATCTCATAGCTATTGCTTTAGAAGCTTGTCTCTTGTTCACACTGGCATCAAACGAGTTATAGACTCTCTTAGAAAGTCAAACTGAGACCAAAAAAAAAAAAAAAAAAAACCCACAGAAACTTAGATATGGACAAAACATATTGTCTATTTGTGAGATATTTTTTATTCCAAACTTATAAATGGCCAGTGTTTTCATGATCCGAGAGAAACTGTACACATTAAGAGTTATCTATAAAGAACATTTTAATTGAAGGCTACCTTCCTGCTTCCCCTTTTCCTACTATGCGCCTGATTTCTAGGCCGCCTCACCAGTCTCAGTGGTATGGTCTTGGGGAAAGCACATCTATTTTCACACTGTGCTCAAAAGGAGGCAGTGCAAAATTATCTGAATAATTAAGTAGTTTTTTTGTGTGTGGACCTTGTCAGCTTAAAATCCCTTATTTTTTTTATTTTTTTTATTTTTTATTTTGTTTTTTATGCCTATAGCACCTGGTCTTCCTAGGTGGTCTCCCATCCGAGTACTAACCAGGCCCGACCCTGCTTACCTTCCGAAATCAGATGAGATGGGGCTTGTTCAGAGTGGCATGGCCATAGACTTAAGTAGTTTTTGAGACCAATTTCTATCTAGAATTATGTTTGGTGCTCTGTCAGCATTGTTTTCCAAGATTAAAAGAGCATAGACTAGCTAGGATAATAAACTAACCCATATAAAACAACTAGCAACACAAGAGTGTATATGTGCATGTGTGCATGTACATGCATGAGCGTACAACCAATAGCGAGTATTTTTTGCACACCGAGTATATATAGATGCACACTAAGTATGTAAGACTTCAGAGAAGAGAGATCAGTTGGAAAAGAATTCATGAAAGTGGGTAGGGCTTATGGAGGGTTTTGAGAGGTAAATGGGATTTTATTAAGCAAAGGAAGGAAAGTGTGATAAGGAAGAAAAAGGCATGGGAAATACTGCAAATATTTTGGTTTCAGATTATCTGGGTCACTATGTTCTAATTGTTCTTACAAGACTTTGTAGTTAAATTTGGGCACTACAGGAGTTCAACTGGACTTTTTAATTAACCCTCACTGCTTTCAAAGTTGTCATCTTCTTGGAAACTGGTGACAGCTCAGAGCCTTCCTGATTCAGCTATTGGATCAGGCTCAGGGCCATAGTGTAGGTGAGAATGGCTTGGGCAGAACCATCTGACTTTCAGGTGGGACGGCTAACCAATGGCTATGAAAAGGTCTAGTTGGCCTTGATTGGGTTTCAGAGTCGACGAAACATTATAGATTTTAAGGTGGCTGTCGTGGGCACTTTGGTGTCCATGTAGACTTTGTCTCTTAAAGGGCTGCCAAATCTTAATTGATATGGAGAGTTTTAACTATGCCTTTTAAGGAGTATTAGCTCAAGTACTTACTACTAGAAATTCGAAACTAATCATTTCTGTCCTTCCAAGGACTTTGGACTTGAAAACCTGAATGATCTGTATTTAGCATCTACAATGAGAAGTTAAACAGACTATTTACCCTGATTTTGGGGACCAGGGGCAAGTAATTTGAGGAGTTTGCAATTAAAAGGCACACAGAACAACAACAGTTGTTTTCTGTCCTAATAGAAGGTAGACTCAAAAGAAAGAGTAGAAACGGGACTAAATATTTAAATTCAAAAAATAATTTACTAACAACAAGTTACAAAAAATACAAATAGCTCAAAGAAGAAGAAAACGTAATGCCCTTTGCTGGTTATCATATATGGGATAGATTCCCTTCGTGGAGATTGTGTAGATGTGGTCTGTCCGATTTATAGGGTGCATGGAATTCTTTGAATCTAGGTTTGTTGTATGGGTACTTGGATGGGGAAGGCGGGGGCACCTCCTTTTGAAATTCACATCTCTGGGCTCTCTCTTTCTCTTAAATCATTCCTGGCCCCAAAGAATGCTCTATCCATAGCATGGTTCTGTTAATATCTTTAGAAAAGTCTGTACTCAGATGGGGAGCAGAGAGAAGAGCCTCATAGCTTAATCTGAAATGGCAATAGCTTTCATGGAAGTAATAGTTAAATCCTGTTGTGGAACCATTACTGGAGAGCACTAGATCACTGATTATATGCACAGATGGCACATTCTGAATGTCTTGGAAGCACAGACTTCCGTGCCCAGCTTCTTGGGGATGGGAAAAGAGATGTGGGTCAATTAATATACGTGGCCCTGATGGACGGGAAGGGAGTACCTCCTGTAGACATTGACTCCCCAGACAGAAGCAGTGCAGGGCCGCCTGCAAACAAGTATAGGAACAACTGCAGAGAGCGGCCTCTTCTGGGAGTAGCTGCCTGAGAGCAGTCAAGACTGGTGAGAAGCCAGCGGTAGCCATTGCATGGTGGGGTCATGCTTCTTTTTATGACTCCTTGAGTTAATTTTCATTGACCAGGGTTTAGTGCTGACTTTCTTGTTTTGATGATGCCATTTTTAGCACTGACACTTTCGTGCTTGTAAACAACACTCGAAATTCCCATTACAAATAGGAAATACTTGCAGACCTGCTGTTGAAATAAAGTAATCCAGAATTAGATCAAATTAAATGAACTTTTAGATGGCATTTTAATTTTTTTTTATTAAACTATGGATTATTTTATTAGTTTGTGTTGCTTAGTATTTAATGGTTAGTTATCCTCAAACTTAAAAGTTCTGTCTACTGTTTAAGTTTTAAAAATAGGTTAGAATGTTAAGTTCTTATTTTTTTAATCTTCTCAGGTAGGAATAATCCTGTGTATATTTATCATTTCAATCTTTGCCTTCTAGGTGCCAGGATTGCTGAGTATTCCCAACTGTATGACCAGATTGTATTCAGAGAGACTCCCCTTAAGACTCAGAAGGATGGCTGGGCCAGCCCTCAAGAATCTTCCAAGCTCAGGTCTACATCACTTTCTCAGGCCCAACATAGTAGTGAGGATTGGCTTTTGCATTCAACCTATAGTAATGGAGAATTAGCAGATTTCTGTCCTCAGCCAGAGAACGACTCAAAGCCAAAATATCCCACTTTAGAGATCAACACAAAAAGTACTCCAAGACAATTGTCCACTGCTTGCTCCGTGCCTTCTCTTCAAACCTCCAATCCTCTGCTGGGCTCCATGCAGAGACACAGCGTGGTAGTCAGTCAACCTAACAAAGACAATTCATGTCAAGGCCATCTTTACAACTCTTTGGGTCGGAAAGGAATCAGCGCTAAATCTCAGCCTTATAACAGGACACAGTCATCTTCCTCGATCTTGATAAACAAATCAGTGGACTCCATCAACTACCCTAATGAAACGGGAAAGAAACAACTGCTGTCTTTACACAAAAGTTCAAGGTGTGAGAGTCACCAGGCTTCGCTGCCAGGTATAAGTGACTCATGTCAACAGGGCACTGAAAAACGCTCCGACCTCACTCTCCAAGATTCACAGAAAGTTCTGGTAGTAAATAGAAATTTACCCTTAAATGCCCAAATAGCTACACAGAACTATTTTTCCAATTTCAAAGAGACTGAAGGAGACGAAGATGACTATGTGGAAATAAAGTCAGAAGAAGATGAGTCGGAATTAGAGCTATCTCACAGTCGTAGAAAGAAGTCTGACCCAAAGATTGTGGATGCTGGCTTTTCTGATAGTGTCTGCAGCAACACATCTTACTCTTTGAACAGTCCATGCACTCCAAAAAAGCCAGTAAGTGGCAAACTTGGGGTTTCACCCTATCTGACACCATACAACGATTCTGACAAACTGAATGACTATCTCTGGAGGGGGCCATCTCCCAATCAGCAAAACATCGTCCAGAGTCTAAGGGAAAAGTTTCAGTGTCTGAGTTCCAGCAGCTTTGCCTAAGGCTCTTAATAGTAGCTTCCTGAATTAACTTCTTATTATGCTCATACATTACAGATACTGAGAGGTGTTTTATATGTACCGGATTAAAACAATTTTGTAATAACCAGAGGTGTAACATATACTTTCTTTTACAGCACAACTTTTTGAAAAGGCTGATGATCTAGCCAAGATTATACTAGAGGCAATGTCGGCATCTGTGTTTTCTGATGCTGCTTGTCTTCATGTTTCATGTAAGTCAATCTTACTTGAAAATTTCCAGGTGTTTTGTTTGTTTTAACAAGATGGCCATGATATTTCCCCCATATCTTGACAATAATTGTGCCCAGACTTTAATAAACGCAATAATCTTCTTATTATACAGAAGCCATGAGTAGTTTTATCCTAGGAGTAAAGGCAGCAAAAGGAGGCACTTCCACAAGTTTTAAAAAGGAAAGGAAACTAAAGCTATTTAAAGGATTATGCTTATTACATCTGGCATTTTCGTTCTGTTTGTGGCAAGACCCTAGAATAACTTAAGCTAAAGATATCTAATTGGAGCATACCCTATGGTGCCCATTTTAGGGTTTCTTATGGTGGTATTCCTACATCAGATCATTGCAATGCAGAAATTGTATAACTGTTAGAAATTAGAATATAACAGGACCACTTTTCTATAAGCCAAATCTTTACCTGGATTCCTGGACAAGGCCTGGAGAATGTGCTCCTCATCACATTTATTTTATGATGACGAAATGGGACAAATGAATGATTCTCTCAATAACAAAGAAAACCAAGGGCAAGAAAATGCAAATTGACTTAACTATTGGAAAAGTTGGGTTGACATCTGGGAGCAGCTTGACTACTCATATTTCAGTTGAAGGGGATGAAGGATGGGGAAATAGCACCCTTCCTACTGTTTTTTCTTGTGCCTCTCCCTAACAACACAAAGTAAAACACAAGCAAAAATAAAACAAAGCACTTTAAAGTTACCTTTTCTAGAGCAGTTTTTCATACGAACTTTCATGAATTTTGTACTCAACCAAATGACCTGATCCCAACCTGGGGGATTTCTTTGATTGCAATGAAATTTATTTCCTAACCAGACATAACATGGGGCCTTGTTTCATTGTTTTGCGAAATATTAAAGACCAGAATCTTTGGTTAATAAGTTCTAACTCATAACATCTTTTATGTTGTAATTATGGTCTCTAAATAGCAGTTTATTGTGTTATGTTGAATAAAACTCTTAATGGAAGGAAACTGAGAAACAAAAGCAAAACCTTGTGAGTAGAAAACAAGATGAAAGAAGCTAAAGAAAAAAATGAAGGTGGATTTGTTGCTCCTTTAGAAAAATATTGTTTTACTGAAGACTCCAGTCAGTGCAACGACGCTTCTCAAACCCTAGCTTTTGCATTTTAAGCAGTTTTACATTCTGTGGCCCCTTCCCCATCCTCTGTTTTCATTTTAAAAGATGTAATAATATGTATAGGGTAAAGGGATCTGGGCTTTTTATTGAGGGTAAACAATGATATTGATTTGAGTCAGTGACATCTTACCATAATTCTTTTCCTCTTTTTAAGTCCTGTGCCTCTCAGCTATAAAACAAAATGTGACCATCTTTATTGTATAAACAGGTACCTAAGGCATTCATTTTTCTTTTTAAATAACAAAAAATAACCCTAGTTTCTTGTCTCTCTATACCATGTTTTCTTCTCGTAGCTTATAAAACAAAGTCCATATTGAATAGCATGGTTCTGGAAATATTTTTCATTGTCTTTCTTTAAACATGATATGAATTTTCAAGATTATGCAAGGTCAGAGAAGACAAGCACTGTAAGAAGGTATATTCTTAGATTTGCTAAAGATATTTGTGTGTTTGCAAAACATTAGCTGACTCTTCTTGTCCCAAGAATGCAGTCTCTCATTTTTGCTTTTTTGTTTCTATGGCCCAAGTTGTATATTGTCCATTCTATAGTACTGTGGTGTCTTACTCTCAGAAATGATTAATCCTTCACACCAGTGTCTCGGTGACCACTTTGATGTCACCTGTAGGAATACACCCCACTGACGAAGGTCGATATCTTATTATATAAAATGTCTACATGGTCATCTTTAGGTTCCAGGACAAATCTTTAATTTTAGAGATCACTTCTGTCAGCCAGGGTGCAGATTTTGCAAGCTGAGTGGATATACATATATATATAATCATGTTCGTATTTTTCCTCAAAGTTATCAATTACATGCTTTTGTTTAAAATAGTTTCTTTTGGAGGTAGGGTAGGGATGTATATAATTGAGGAAAAAAGAATATATGTACTTCAAAGCGTGTCACATTCTTATTAGGTCTCTGTACTGAAGGTTCAATTTTTTTATAAGTTCACTTTTCACCTATTCTTTGTGCAAGAGAAATGCATCTAGGAAAGCAGAGTTTAAATATTGTATATAAGATAATTAAAGTTAGTAATGCTCATTATTTAATAAAGTTTGTAAAGTACAAAGTAAATTATAGTGTGAATTAATGTGTTTATTCTATAAAGTTTAAGCTTTTTCCAAACTACCTTTAGTTATAATACTTTGTCTTGCCTAATGAGCCATGAGGAAAATGACTCAGGGTAATGATGCTATACCACGTCTCAGTGACAGACCATTTTCTGTATCTTTGGATTACTTTTGAAATATTGAATTTGATGTCTGGAACGGTATTTGTTTTCTTTATAGGTGGCTAAGCCAGATCTATCACTAGATTATCTTTTTTTTTTTTTTTTTACTTTGTAGTAACAAGTCATCCTTTTAACATCCTTTTTCATTATTGAATCAAAAAATTAATGTAAAAGTTTTTTTGGTAAAAATTAAGGTTTTTTCATGTAACTTCATGCTCTGAATTTTCTTTGATACATAAAAGTTTTACAAAGAATAAAAGCATGTTAATATAAATTGATAATTATAGACACTTTCAAAAGCAATTCTATTTCCAAATATAAGCATAATATCCTAGTCCAGTATAATGAAAATATATGTTATCTAACTTTCCTCATACAGAGAAAAATGGCTTTAAAATTTTTCTTTAGAGCGGTCAAGAGTGGAGACCCATCCGACTGAAGACCCATCAGACTTACCATATCTTACTCTTGTATTTTGAGGTTGAAAATAAATGTTTTTTATTTTTTTTTTACAGATCCTAAGAGTTCAATTTACAGAAGTGAATGACACTAGGAAAAAACCATGCTTTATGTAAATTCTATCCATAAATTATAATTCTAGGGCAAAAAATATCACAAAAAGCAGTAGCTTTGTAATGAGCTATGAATACAGCTGTTAAATATGAAGAGACAACATTTGTCTGTTAAGTTTTCTTTTGTTAAAAAATTAATTTCTATTTTGAAGAGCAAACGTTAACAATATTTCAAGAGTTCTCACATCCTATATATTAAATAACTTCCTCTATCACATAACTTCCTCAGTCTGAACAGTAGTAATACACTCAAGTCTATCAGCCAGAAGGGATTCCAACAAAAGAAACTGCTTCAGCTCTTTTGCTAATTTACATATGTTTATACGTCTTTAACTTAAACTTTGTCCTATGGATAGGATCTGGAGCTTTCTTATGCATGCTTTTGCAATGTTTTTTGTTTAAAAATATATATATATATGAAGACATAAGCATTCTCTCACATTTAGCTTCTCACATTTTTCTTTCCTTACAAGTAATTTAGAGTATGAAACACCAAGATAATGTTGAATTATGCTGCATTTAAAAGGTTAATAAATGCAAAATATTATTGCACAATCAATCCACATAACTATAAATTAATACAACTTGGGATGTTTGGTTTATAGCATATTTGAAAACATTTATAGGGGGTCAAATGTTTCTTTTTAAAGAATGTTCTAAAATTTAGCATCTGTCTCATTTGACCCCTGGAGGTGGAAATGCTTTTACCAGCTCTGCACAGTGCCTGACAATTCATAGATGTTTGGTACAGTTAATATTTAATGATTGACTAGATAGTCAAAAACTTGTCTGAGCCCAAAGCATGAGAAAAACAGGTTCAAATCACAGACCCAAAGGAGGAAGTAATAAATCCAATGTCACTGACTATTTTTAGAGTTCCTATCCAGTAGGTGAAAGGCTCCCTTTTCCATCTCTTGGCTATAGAATTCCAGAGAAATTTAGTCTGAGTGATATTTCCAGCAAGTTGTTAAGCTAATTATCTACATGGTCCTATGAGAACTTCTCTGAAAGTTTGTTTGGACCAAACGCTTTTCCCAACAACCGGTTTTGATGATGCCAGGAAAGCACAGAGCAACCTGGCATGCAGCTGTGGGGTTGACATCAGGGCAGGTGGAGAGAAGGGTCCAGAATGCTGAGATTGTTTTTTTATTTTTTTTATTTTTTTGTGCCAAAAGACAAACTTGCCTACTTTATGATGGTGGTGCATGCCCATGGGTAAAGTCCACTTTGCGTACCTGTGAAAAACAACAAGGCTTGATTTTCCTGACAATGCCTTATTCACAAGGCAGGTTGATTTTCTTGACAATGGGTTATTCACAATGCATCGTACAATAGGAAACAGAGAAGAGCCCCACTTCATTAGTTCTAAAACCATGTTCATTCAGCTCCACGTAAAAGACCAGGCTGATAAGCAAATCATTTGCTCTATGGGACCAATATGCGCCCCAAATGTCCTACTGTTTGTATGTCAATGTGTGGCTCTCCATGTAGTTCCCATACAACCAGCACAAGGCCATGGGATAAGTAGGTTCCTTCTTCTGTACACCAGTTAAATCAGAGGCTGAGAATATGTGGCCCAGAGGCTGAATCTAGCACAATTTTTAAAAAGTTTAACATAAAATTCCAAATTTTCACCTTCTTTAAAAGAAAAGTTAGATCTGGCCTGTGTGGGCCTGGACTCTGGTGAGGTGACTCTAAAGGTGAAAATCTCCCTAAAAAGTGGTCACTTGCCTTTAAGCTTTGGGGAGCCTATTCCTTTGTTCTCCATCATAGACTTTGTCAGCAAATTTAGAGCTACCATCAGGCTCTTAGATGGAAATATTTTAGATGGCAAGTAAAGACTCTCAACATAAAAAACATTTCATGGAAAGTCTGCAAAACTTGTCGCTTTGGGGGTTAAAATATTATACCTGGTCCACTTTACTAGTTTATATTATCTGCCTGGCCTCTATACACCTTAAGTTTGTGAGATCAGATATTCTCCATTCCGTTCTTCTCTAATATCATAAACTCACTCAAGGTTTCACGTACCTTGTATACTCGATCTCCTAAAACACCATCTCTAGCTTAGATGTCTCTTCTGAGTGCAAAGAGCATTTTTCCTACAGGACATCTCCACCTGAGTTGTCATTTTCCCTAATCAAGTATCCCTTTATGCCTCTGAAGCTCTTTCTCTAGTTTGTATTTCTGTTCTTGGCCTACTACCACAGCTTCCTACCAGCTTGTCTTGCCACTGTCTTCCCCAATTGCCTAATTTTAGCCAGCATAACATTGATAAATACAAGCAGAATCAAATTCTCTACAGAACTCTCCCAAATCTGTCTCTGGAGCCGCTCCCTTTCTCCTACATGGCCTATCTAGGAGAAAACCCGCATAGTCCTCAACACTCACCTCAAAAATTACTGTCAAGAATTGTGCAGGGTCTGGGATTTTACTCAGCTTGCAAGTTAACAAGTTAGCCTGCCTCAGTGTCCTGGATGCTGATGGAAGACATGAGATTCCTAGGTCAAAGATAAAGAACATTATTACTCCCAGCATAGCAGGCAGCATGAGCTTCATATTTGCACTGGTTCTACTTGCTCCTCCAGGCCAATAGGGACCATAGAGAGCAGTCTGGGTGCATGCTGCACACACAGGGGGTTTGTTTCACAGTTGATTTCTAGTCTTTAAGGGCGACTAGAAAACCCTCCTGATCTTTGCTCCTGGAGAGAGATATTATCTTTACCCTCCAGACAGCAAATAAGTCTGTCCTCTGCCCCAGAGGGAGACACTATCTTCCAAGTTTGCTATACAAATGTCCTTGTAACAATAGCTGGAAAAATACAAGACAAGAAGAAATGCAAAGTGCAAGAGACCCATAGAGAGTCGTCTCAGAACAATCATATAATTCTATGACATACAAAATTTTTAAATTATTATCCAAAATTGTTAAGGATGAAGAAAGATGGTTACTACCAATTAAATGAGAATATAAATTGGTATTTTGCAGAAATGAACTTGATAATATGGATCAATAACAGTGGAATGCATAATCTTTGACCCAATAATTATACATCTACTCATCTATTCTAAGAATATCAGCAGCTGAGGTTAAAGATATATGTACCAAATTTCCCCACCATGGCCTTGCCTGCAGACTGTCTGGTAATGATGTTGATTTCACAGACCTGTGCTGGTGTGTGTTACCCACACTGTTGGGATCAGGCATGCTTTCCACCCTAAACACGCAGAACCTAAGACCAGGCTACTCCCTGGGAGTTTTGGAAAAGCTGCATTAAACTCAGAGCTTCTAAATCCAAGCCAACCATTCAAGCCTCAGGTAATCCTTCCTGAGAGACCAGTCTGCTCATTCATCTAGCACTAGAACTCCCACGGAAGTACGATCTGTCCTGATCCTTGAAAGCTACACTTTTAACCTCTCTGGTATTTGCTGAGTCCGTCTCTTTGGCATCTGGACCACTTCAATCACCATGTTTCCTATCCCTGTTATCCTGGGCCACATCCCAGGACATACGCCCCTCTGATCTTCCTTGCTTGCATTCCTGTCCTGCTTTCTTTGCTCTAAACCACTTTCTCACTGCTGCTAATCCTCCCACATCTCTTCCCTGTGTGCTCTGGATCACCTGAAGTTCCATGCTCAAACTCCTCCATATCTTCATCTTTTTAATTAAGGAGTCCCTTTTTAAACTAAAGCTTAGCCCTTCCTTGAGGATGCTGTTCCCCCTAAGGCTAGCTTCAGGGGAAGCTGGCTATTCATTTTCCTACAATCCAACACCTCAAGTATGGAGGTGGAGTCAATACTCTCTTTCAATCCAGACTTTTGCTCACACAGTTCCTTCTACTCAGAATGCTCTTTACCAGCAGAACATTCGTTCCAGTCCTCCCCTTAGCTTGACTCCTAAATCATCTTCAAGTACGTATTGCCTTCAAGTGCACTTCCTTCAGGAAGCTTTTTATGATTCTCCAAGTCTAGGAAGGTGCCTCTCCTTGGTACTTTCATAAGACTCTGAGCCATCATACTCAATTTTCCATTGACGGTTGTGCACAGTAGTAAACTGTGTGACCTGGGCCTGTCTTGTTCACAGTTGAGTCCTTACTACGTGCCTAGCAAAGAGCCTGGTATACAGCAAATGTACTCACTCCACCATACATATGTAATTTTAACCTCAGATTATATATTCCTTATA